AAATACAACACAAAATCTTTTTTTTCGATTCAATTTTTGCAGTACTTTCATTACTTGTTTTACCGATAATTAAATAAAGCTAGCTACCCACATGTAAAAACAAATATCTTTGCTGCAAGGTACAACTTTGGACGTTTTAGCCAAAATTCATCTTCTAAAGCTTTAACACTTTTCTTGATGTCTGTAATAGAATATTTTATCTTCTCTTCTTGATAATATATATAAAAAAAACAATGATAAGAATGTTGAAAGTTAGTATAAAGGACATAATGATTTGTAAATGCCATGGTTTGCATTGTTGAGCAAAAAACAGAAATGTCTGTCATTTAGAATTCTCTCAATATAAATTACAATTGTCAACATATACATATTTTTCAAATGGTAAAATTGTTCACAATTAGTTACATTTCTAATATTTTTTCTTCCCTTTTCTATTTCCTGTCCCTATCATAGGCTCTGCTCTGCGGCGTCGCTGGCTAGCTTTYCAACTCCTGATGCAGGTGTGGCTGGCGGCAAATCCATCACTCAGTGARCGCCAATGCCCCAAGAGTTGTCGCTGTGATGGAAAAATTGTGTATTGTGAGTCAAGCGCCTTTCGTGACATCCCTAAAAACCTATCAGGAGGTTGCGAGGGCCTGTCATTGCGGTACAACAGCCTCTCCAGTCTTCGTGCAGGCCAGTTTGGTGGCCTCAACCACCTTATATGGCTCTACTTGGACCATAATTACATTGCCTCTGTGGATGGGATGGCCTTYCAGGGGATTCGAAGGCTTAGAGAGCTGATTATAAGTTCCAACAAGATCACAATGCTCCACAACACCACGTTCCACCCTGTCCCTAATTTGCGTAGTCTGGATCTGTCATACAATAAACTGCAAGCTTTGCAGCCTGGGCAGTTCCAAGGTTTACGCAAACTTGTCACTCTTCATATACGTTCAAATTCTCTAAAAACTATTCCAACGCGTCTGTTCCAAGACTGCAGGAATCTTGACTTTCTTGATCTGGGTTACAACCGTCTGCGAAGTATCACACGCAATGCATTTTCAAGCCTTGTCAAACTCACTGAGCTGCACCTGGAGCACAATCAGTTCTCCAAGATCAACTTCTCTCACTTTCCTCGCCTCTACAGTTTGCGGTCTCTTTACCTACAGTGGAATCGTATTCGCTCAATGAGCCAGGGGGTTCCATGGACCTGGGCCTCTATCCAGAAGCTGGATCTGTCAGGAAATGAGCTAACAGAAGTAGATGCTATGGTTTACCAATGCTTACCAAAGCTTCAAACTCTCAACCTGGACTCCAACAAGCTGTCCAATGTCTCTCAAGAGGCAGTTGATGCTTGGATCTCCTTGACTATGATAAGTTTAGCTGGAAATGTATGGGACTGTAGCCCTGCTATCTGTCCTCTGGTGGGCTGGTTAAGAAACTTTAGAGGGGCAAAGGAGACAACCATGATTTGTGCCTCTCCCAAGAAAGCCCAAGGAGAGAAAGTTATGGATGCCATTGATGCCTTTGGTGTTTGTCAATCAAACCAGGCTTCAACACTCACAGTGAGTATTTCCTCAGATCTTTCCAGTAACCCTGTTCAAACGGAACACAACCCGTCTATTCTGGCTTTACCAACTAGCTCCGGAAAGAGAGCTGAGGGATCCCTCAGGGGTCCTACATCTCTAGCTGTTACCCCACCTGTTGCACTTCCTCCAGACCAAGACTTGGAGCCAGTGTCCTTCCATAAAATTGTGGCCGGAAGTGTTGCTCTTTTTCTGTCTGTTGCAATGATCCTGTTAGTAATCTACGTATCCTGGAAACGCTACCCTAACAGCGTCAAGCAGCTGCAGGAGCACTCAGCAGCAGCACGCAAACGTCGCAAGAAACCCAGAGAGACAGAGCGCACCCTTAGCTCTCCCCTGCAGGAGTACTATGTGGACTACAAGCCCAACAATTCGGAGGCCATGGATGTGCTTGTAAATGGAACCGGACCGTGCACATATACCATCTCAGGCTCTCGAGAATGTGAGGTATGATTTACACTGTCACACTCTTTTAAAGCTAAACTATGTCCAGTTGTTTTGTAGGTCTGCCACTAGATTGTCTAAAGAGCAGATTAGGCAAATACTGTTTATCTATGAATTACTACTAAAGGAAGCAGAGGTAGTTTTGGCATCACTTTATGTGTAACGAGATGTGACTTGTTTGATGATGAGTGTTTGTGTATTCATTCAAACCCTAATCTCTAACGGTATGCAAATATTAGATTTTCCACTGAACTGTATAGAATCACAGATAAATGAGACTGATTACATATCATATGCTGTATATTCTGGAGATTATGYTATGTTGTTTGCACTGATTCAATTTTATTTCCTTTTTCCTTGCTTGTGTGTCATACATTTCCCAGTTTGTCTGTTCACAGTGCTGTTTTTTTTTCTTTTTTTATGAGCATTTTTCCCTTATTTTCTTGGGGAAAAAATTAATAACTTCAAGATACCAGATGTGAATGCTATTAGTGTTTCTTTCACTGAATGGAGCTTCCTCAGAGCAAATGTCTTCACACTTTTTTTGACAGAGCTATGACTCAAGACTTGTTTAAAAATCTCATAGACTCCCAACAGCATTGCTGTTCAGCTTTTCTCTTCTCCCCTTTCATACTGTCTGGCTGAAGTTACTCACTTGTTTACTCACTTGCTAAATTGATTAGTCAGGCATAAACCGAAATGAATACTTTTGCTGGCCGCTGACACTTTAATTCACATGGGGGTAAGGGGAAAAATGTATTTGTCACACACAGACAGAAACAGCCTTTGATAGTCCTTAAAGGAATGGGAATCCTTTGAAATGTTTTGTATACAGGGAAGTGATTTTCTTCAAAACAGTATTTACACACTACATCAGAACTGGAATACTATGTTTTTTTTCTTTTGCTTTCACTAACCCCTGTCTCATATGCTTGGCATACTGTAAAGTGCTGGGCACACCTATTATTCTACTACAGTTTAAACCCAAATTTTGTCATCAATGTAGACCCTTTATAGCGCATGTTCTAAAGAAAAGCCTTAAAKATTTCTAAAGCATACCTCATTATAACTCTAGGTACCAGTTTTCATTTATTATTTATATGAAACACATTTTTTTCTGGTCCAGAAAAAAAAATGCAAGTTTCAACCACAAGGGCATGTACCCAGATATCAACATTTTTCTTTTTCTCATTTCAGTTACTGACCATCTGGCTTCCTTGGAGGCAGGTCACTTGGTGATATGTAATACTTGCAGGTAGCTCTCACTGGTGTAATTATAAAAGAGGAGCACAAATCATGCATGCCATTGTCTCGTTGGTTGCCCTTCACTTCCCCATTGAGTTTTTTTAGCAGCTCATTTAAGCCAATCATACAGCTTTATCTTGAGGGAAAGGTTTGCAATTCTTTAAATTAGACATGTACCCACTGCACCACCAGCTGCTGGATGGAATCAGACAATTTTCAGCCTGGTCGGTGACCAGCCAGGGTCACAATATTTTAAAACCTATTTTTTTATTC